TCTAAACATTTAAAATGCAATTATTTACAGAATGGAAGAAAAAAAAAACATGTTTTAAGGTGTAGAAGTCTGACTATTAAGACAGAAGAGCCCAGTTCTTCTTTCTTAATAATAGTGAGACTTCTTCACCTTGTGCCTCTGACATCCCTTTTTTTTGAGCCTCCTCCATTCATGGGACAGAGAGGGGTGAACTTCCAGCGCACTGAGGGTGAGACTGAATGCCTTCAGACTTGAGGCTCTCAGGGGTCATGCGCCTCCAAGCAGTTAATCGGGAGAGCTTGAGGTGAGCGGTCTTTGGGCTACGACTTACTGAAGGAATGCCTTTTGAGCATTTATCAGCAGGGCTAAAAGCGCCTTGTGACTCTGTCTGAGCAGGACAGAGGTCAAGGGGACTTGTTACAAAGAGTCCAAGGACCATAGGAAGGTATGCTCATGGGGATCTCTTCCCAAAAAATGCTTTCTGAGTATTCTGAACTGTAACCTGTTAGCTTCCCAAATAACCCCCATAATCATGAGGGGAAACATGCTTGAATAGCACCCATTCTGGGACAATAATCATTACAGTAAAATGTGGAAATGAGAACCGTGGAATGTAGTCAGGCACTTGCAGCCACAGAGCTGGCTGCCTCGGACAGATCTCAGGATGACAATCCCAGCAGGTCTGAGGAGGGGAGCTGATGTCGGCCCAGGAAGTTCAAGACGTTTTCTTCTTACTCCACCGACCAGGTAGGATAGATCAAGTGGCTTGGTAGATAAGGAGATGAAGGGAGGCAACAATCATTAGATTTCAGACCAGCTGACACTTAGAAAAAGTAGCCATTAGATCTGACCAATCTTCGAAGTTTATGGACAAGAGGCTTCCTGCTGCATATAGGCCAGGGCTCTGCCTAAGGGATGTCCTAATGTAAAATTTTAGGCTCTTCTAAGGCTTTCTTTAGCAGCTCTGGTGGAGTAGGGGTTATGCATTGGGCTGCAATCCAAAAGGTCAGCAGTTTGATACCACCAGCTCCTCCTCAGGTCAAAGGGCAGTTTTGGCATCCGCTCGATGGCAGTGAATTTGGAGTTTGGGGTGTGTGCTCAAAGAGCAACTGCCAGAAAAGCAGGCATTTTCCTATCTCCAAAAATAAAGTGTTGGCAATGCTTCAGGCCCCTATGCCAACAGCTGTCCCTGCCCAGGGTAAATAATAGATGGCTAAGTTGGGCAGATGCAAGAACGGAGTCCTGACGCAGCCTGCATCCAGCCCAGAATCCCTCAGACAGGACTTGTGCAGCTGGACAGCCAGGAAGCCAGAGGTGGGCCTCCTCCTCAGCAACTGATGGAGGACAGCTGCTGCTCCCACACAAGGGCCAGGTGTGGCTGAGGGGGCAGGCTCCAGTTACAACAAAGACCTTGACCTAGTGGAGGTGGCAGAGCCCTGCGAGCCCTCCAGCATAGCACTGGGTCCGTGTTGACAGATTTAAGGGCGTGTGAGACCCTGCCCAGAGAACAGTCCCATGGAAGAAAAGTGTTTCATAAACATCCATCTGTATTCGTCACTCAGGGCTGTGGCTGTCACCTGTCAACGCCCCCCCCCCCCTTACCCAGTGAGAGGCCTCACCTGCTAGCTGCAGGCCCTACCAAACTGCCTCAGTCAATGAAGACTGTGAGAACAGCCGTCCTCCCCACTTTAATTGCCTTCCACCTCATCAGATGCTTCCCTAACACTTGTTGAAACCTCTGTGCCTGGTCATTAGGGCTCCAGTCTTTCCCTGACCAAAAGCTTGGCTTTGGGCTAGTTTGGGAAATTCAGAGGGCTAAGAGGGGCTTAAGGGAGGAGGAGGACTAAATATAGCAGCTATTTGCAGGCATAATCACTCTATAAACATGCTTCAGTGGAACGGAGTGTCGGACCGACCCAGGTGACGGATGTCACTCAGCCGGGTGTCACATCGTAAATAAAAATGAATGAGCCCCTTCTCCCCCACAGAACCAGAGTGACGCCTGTTCGCACGATAAATATTTATGAAGTCACGGCCCTCAAAAGGCTTTCTTTTCCCAGGTACGTAGCCTTTCATGGGAAAGTTCTGCAGAGCTCTTCCTGCAATTACGGAGTCGTCGGGGTCAGTGTTCAAGGGGCAGTCCACGAAAAGAGCAAGAAGGGAGGAGGGAGGGACAAAGGAGCACTGGTTCCAAGAGGCTCCTGCACACAGATCTCATTTATGCCAGTCAAGGTGCATGCTCACCGAGAAAGTGACGGCCATGTGGCACTGGCAGAAAGCAGCAGCAGCAGCAGCAGGGCTGCTGTGTAAGGAAGGGACAGGAACAGAGAGAGCCCTGCCATCTGAATTCCCACTCCTCCCACCACCGCCGCCAGGAGAGACATTCTCCTGAGCACGGAAAGCTCTCTCAGCCACTTTGTCATAGAAAAATGTACACCTCACCCCATTACGATGCTCCTGAAAGAATTCTGGGAATGCAAGGATACGTGCCCGCCTGGGTCTCCTTCTAGGTGTGCGAGGCAAACTCCATTCCTCCGGGGAATGGCGCCCAAGACAGCCAGCCAGAATCTGACAAGCTCTTCTTGTTTTGTGTTTTAATTGGCTAAGAGCAGCCTCTCCTGCAGCCAGCAGCCCTCTGCCACCTCCCCCCCCACCTGCCTCCAAGTCACTGCAGGCAGTCCTGCAACCTGCAGCTCCCATGCCATTGCCTCCACAAGTCACGTTCACGCCACTTTACGTGTTATTAATCTCCTCGACGTGCCAAAGCCCTTGCCCCGTCCATCATGCCTGTGTCTTGCCCAGGGATGGCCTTGTGCCCACTCTTTCTTCCCCTCCAAACCTTAGCCTGGGTCCAGTTACCGTCAGACAGAACTGGCCCAGCCAGTCGAAGCATCTCATTTGGCTCTAGCCTTTGGGAAGTCTTGTCCCAGAAGGAACAAGAGTCTCTGGTTTTGTGAAATGAGTCACAGGCGGCCTCGACCATGGCCGCTCTGGTGAGGCCAGGGCTGCCATGTACAGTCTGTGCTGGGTGCCACCCACCTCTCCATCTAAGTCAGGCTTCTCTGCCAGGACAGCCTGAGTCATAAAAGTCAGCACATTCTTCAGGCATCGGAGAGCTGTTCCTTGTGATTACTTTGCTTTTGTCTCAGGCGGCACCTGGTTTCAGTTTAAAAAACCCAAATAAAACCTCATGGTTTGGGAGTGGGTAGGAGGCGGTGGGTAGCAGAAAAGCAAAAGGGAAAAAGCGGAGGGTCAAGAGGAAAGAGCTACGACTGCACCAGGAGACAAGATCCAAGAACTGGACAGAGATGGAGCTGCAGAGAAAGGGGACAGGGTACAAATGAGCTTGGCCCAAACCCTTTTTGTTGTATTGGACACGGTGCCGCAAGGCTGGTTTTCCTCCCCACCTGTCCCAGGCCCAAATTAGGCAGAGGTATTAAAAGAGTTAGTACTTGGCTCCTAAGTCCCTTGACCTTCCAGGCGCCCTTTCATTTCCCAAGTCTTCTTAATAATCACACAGATTTCCTTTAGGTAAACCCCAAGGAAGATTTCAGCTCTAACATCCCATAATTCTGGACATTCATTTCCTTGTCTTGCATTATAAAACCAAAAGGGGATATTTTCCCACAAACTATCACGTGATTTTTGCCTCTTAGGGGCTGGGGCAGAGGGTGAGGGTGAGGGTGAGGGTGGGGGTGGGGTGGGGAGCTAAGACCAGATTATTTTTGTTAAGACCATCTGCCCAGATGTTAACATTGATTATTTCTTAAATCAGAACAGAAGTTTGATCAGTTATACCTGACACCGAGTAAGAAATATAAACACTGACGGGACAATAACTATTAATATGGAGAATTTACTCTTGAGTAGTAAAGCCTATTAATTACAGGTTAAGACCTATCATTAGGCACGGGAGTCTGAAGAGGACTTGAACGCCCTAAGACGGAGGTCGGCACCTCCCTCTGCCTGCCCTTCTCAAACAAGGCTGCCCTGGGCCCAAATCCCGGAGCTTCCCAAGAGGCTGCAGGGCTGGAATTTCAATGTACGGTTTTGGCGGGCTTAACGGAAACCATATGAAGGAATCGGGAATCAGACCAGATGGCTCGCCAGGAATGTTATTTAGCCAAACCTGAGCTCACGAACAAAAATAGCCACTAGGATGCAGTGTGAGTGTGTGTATTGATTACCATTTACTATTGAACAGAAATCAAACGGAGGGAGAAGGGGGCAGTCTTAGTAATGAGCATAAATGGGGGTAGGGGTAGGGGTCGTGGTGGACAGGAGGAGTGGGGAGGTGGTTATTTTTAAAATCAGTCACAGTTGAGCGCGTGCCAGAGGCCTGCCCCAGCGCACTCTCTTCAAGCCCTGGGTGTCCACGCAGCAGCCACGCGCCAGAGGCCTGCCCCAGCGCACCCCGCAGGGGCGGGACAGACTGTCGGGGGCCCTTGGGGAGAGGGAGGGTGGTGAGAGG